TACCCACCCCCTCTCTTTTGTGTCTTTCTTCCATTACATTGTCATAAAACACCAGTAGGTTTGTGACACTGGATTTGCCTTCCCTGAATCTGTGCTGGTTGTCATTAATAAGCTTGTTCCGTTCTAGGTACTCACCACTCTCCTCCTGATAATTTTCTCTATGATTTTGCATACTATACACATCAGTGACACTGGTCTATAGTGTAGGGCCTCGTTTGTCTCCTTTCTCAAAAATGGGGCCTACATTTCCCGTCTTCCATACCTCAGGTAGTTGCCCAGTTTCAATAGATGTGTTGAAAATTATGGTTAGTGGCACACACGCATCTCTGCTCTCTGCTCTCTCGCTCTCTCTCTCTCTCTCTCTCCCCCCCTCTCTCAGGATCCACGGAGAGGATCCCACCAGTCCCACTGGACTGAGGTATCAAGGTCACTTAGCAGCTTCTTCACCTCCTTCTCGGTTGTGTGTATTTCATCCAACACTTGCTGGTATATCCCTTGTTGGTGTACCCCTCTGTTCTGACCTCCCAGAGTCCTTTCTGTCTCCACTGTAAATACTACATCCTTAAATCTCATGTTGAGCTCCTCACATACTTCTTGATTGTTTCTTGTGAGTTCCTCACCTTCTTTCCTCAGCCTAATTACCTGGTCCTTGACTGCTGTCTTCCTCCTGATGTGGCTATATGAAAGCTTCAGGTCAGACTCGACTTTCAATGCTATGTCGTTTTTGTACTGTCGCTGAGCCTCCCTCTTTATCTCTGCATACTCGTTTCTGGCTCTTTGACTGATCTCTTTATTTTCCTGGGTCCTTTGTTTTCTGTAATTTTTCCATTCTCTAGTGCATTTTGTTTCTGCCTCTCTATGCCTTTGGGTAGACCAAGGGCTCATTCTGGTCTTCCTATTACTTCTGTTGCCCTTGGGAACAAACCTTTCCTCTGCCTCCTTGCATTTTGTTGTTACATAGTCATCATTTTGTTTACTGACTTTCCTACCAATTCTCTTTCCCACTGAACCTCCTGCAGAGTTTCCTCATACCTATGTAATTCCCCTTTTGTAGTTTGGCTTTTCCCTTCCTACTCCTGTTACCCTCTCCACTTGTAACTCTACTACGTATTCAAAGCTCAGAACCAAATGATCACTAGGTCCAAGGGGCCTTTCATATGTGATGTCCTCAATGTCCGAGCTACTCAGGGTAAACACAAGGTCCAGTCTTGCTGGTTCGTCCTCCCCTCTCTCTCTCTCTGGTAGTGTCCCAAATATGTTGATGCACGAATGAGGTTTTCCAGGACCACATCCATCATCTTGGCTCCCCATGTTTTGAGACCCTTGTGTGGCTCCAGGTTTTTCCAATCAATCTCCTTGTGACTGAAATTGCCCACAACTTGTAGCTTTCCTCTACCTGTGTGAGCTCTTCTGGCCAACTTAGCTAGTGTCCACCATTGCTCCGTTGCTCTCTTCATATTCTTCTCTTGGCATCCTGTAGTTCTGTGGTGGGTTATACATCACTGCAATAACTACCTTATGTCCCCCAGACTGAAGTGTACCTATGTAATCCCCTATGCCAATTTTGTCCATTCCTTCCATTTCCTCAAACCCCCATCAGTTCTTAATGAGCAGTGCAACTCCTCTTCCCCCTCTGCTCCTGCTATCTTTCTCCAGGATCTGATATCCAGGTGGGAAGATCGTGTCTGTTATCCTCCCAGTGAGTTTCATTTCTGTGACTGCTATGATGTCTGGGGACATCTTGATTCTTTCATGCCACTCCTCACATTTATTTGTTATTCCATCTGCATTCGTATACCAAACCTTCAACTTTTCTAAAACTGTGGTCTAGGGAGAATGTTGGGGTAGGGGACCCATGGGGGGTTGCTGTAAGGGTGAAGTTTGTGATGAGGGGGGTGGGGGTACAGGGTACAGTGTGTGGGTTTTGGTTTAGATTGTTTGGTTGCATTGGGGTTGTTGTGGTTGGGGTCCTTCTGTGGGTGGTTCTGAAGGAGGTTGTGTTTGCTCTTCCTCCCGAGTCTGGGTTCTCCTGTTTATCTCCATCAATGCCTCATATTCTTTGTACCCTCTCTTTCAGCTTCTGCCTTTCTTCTTGTGTTCTGTCTCGATTGAGGTACACACTCTGGTATGTCCCTTAGTGTGCTTTCTCCTGCAGGATCTTGTTTTGAGCTGATTCTGCCTTTAAAGTCCCTTTGACTGGAATGTTTTTCCCTCTTGCAAACCACCCAATTCTCAGAAAATTTGTCAACTGGGTTATGTCGTCCTCTAGTTTTCATGATACTTTCAATCGCTTCTTTCTCCTCCTGTCTTCTTGCTCTGTAAGTTTCCCCTACGACTTCCTGAACGATCTTCCAAATATATTGCTGCAACTTAGACCTATTCCCTTTGCCGACGACACAACTTTTGTTATTTCCCACCCAAATTTAGCATCACTCAACACCAATATACTCATGCTTAACATTGGCAAAACCTTTTACATTAAGTTTGAGAGCAGAGCAAGTAATGTTCAACTGAAGATTACGATTAACAATACTCTTATTGCTAAACATAATGAGGGAAAATTTTTGGGTCTGTACCTTGACAGCAACTTGAAATTCAACACCCACAGGCAACACATTACAAAAAAGTATCCAAAACAATTGGCATCCTCTCCAAGATGCATCATTATGTACCACAAACAGCACTACTTACATTATACCACTCACTGATCTACCCCTACACTACTTGTGCCTGAGAATCCACAACAGCAAATCACCTTAAGCCAATAATAACTCAACAAAAAGCCGCAGTACGAATGATCACACAGTTCACTGCTAAACGACACACCTCCCCCACTCTTCAAAGACCTAAATCTACTTACTATACAAAACATTCACTCTTACTACCATGCATTTGACATATACAGGAAAACAAATTCTAATATTAATCCTGACCTGAAGCACTTCCTTAACAGTTGCAACAGAGCCTACAGACATGATACTAGACAAAAAAATCTCTGACATACCCCATGTCTGGCTTAGCCTTTATAAAAATTCAATGTGCATAAATGACCTGAAATCTGGAACTCCCTGCCAGAAATCTCTAGAGCCACTCTCTCTGCCAGCATCTTCAAGACTACCATAAAAAAAAAAAAAAACTTTCACTAACATATCCCTGTGAGGAGTTTCGAATCTTGCTACAACAGCTAAATGTGATAAAACTATATAATCATATTCTCAATGCCATAAGCCACAACCTTCTACTTCAGCTAACAATCCACAACCTTCCACCTCAGCATAGTAGGGTCACACAAGCTTTTATCAAAATCAACAACATGCAACAGCAACCAGAATTTATGGTAAGAAGTAATATTTATGTAATCTTCACAGCTATAAGTATTTTATTAAATATCATTACAACCACACATAATTACAATATTATCATTGTTGTTTACAATTTAAAGACCCAAGAAATTTGGGTGAATTTTTTTTTAGGGGGTCTTAATAACATAACACTATTCTTTCCTAAAATTCTTCAGTTCAGTTTACACGCATTTCTGATTACATGCCATTTTCAGGAACGTAACAACTGTGTTATCTAATGACCATGTCAGGGCCTATGAGAGAGGGGTTTCAGTCAGTACATTGGTCTGGGGCCCAGACCTTAATGATGAAGATTTGGCAGCAGAAATGCAACATTTACCATTAGTACATAAAGCAAATTTTGGAAAACCAGAAATGAAACCTTTAGAATTGCTAAATTTATTAACAGACTACAAACTTTGTGAGATATTTCCAAATGTTTGTGTTAGATTTAGAGAATATTGTTGACAATTCCAGCTACAGTAGCATCAGCACAAAGATCTTTTAAAGGTCTACTATGTCTCAAACCTGACTTGTTTATTTAGTAAGACTGAGTATTTAATCAAGCACTGCCAGAGAAATTGATTTAGATAGTGTTATTAGAAATTTTGCAGAAAAAAAAACCAGAAAAGCTCATTTTACTAAGTAGTCTAAGCAAATATTAAAATTTTTAGAATTTATTTTACTTTGAAAGAACTTATTACATGTTTAAAAATCTAGGCACTTTCATAGTTGTAGGTCAACAAAAATTTTCAAAATCTATAAAGTATATATATAAAGTATATGTCATCTGGTCGTTCTGCTGCACAGGAAATAAAGCATTTATGAGCAGCTAGTCTGTGAAGGATGTGGACCAATTGACCATCAACAAACAGCCTAGTTGACCAGGTAAGCTTCAGAAAAGCCTGGCCCCAGGCCAAGGAATGTGGAAGGAGGAAGACAAGACCTGATCACATACAAGATTTTATATAAGACTGATCAATGCCATCTCCCAGAAATAAAAAAGACATCAAATCCCAATGGCTAATAATACACAGTGATGGCCAAAAAGATGTGAAAAACCACCTAAAAAAGATGAATGTGCCAAAGGCAATGGTGCCTAACTAGATATCAAGGGGCTCATTTTAAAGATTAATAATACCACACCTTAGATAGGTGTTAGATACTAACTTAAAAAGAAAGACTATTACCAATAGTGTACATACATACTGTATTTAAGAAATATGTCTAGCTGGAAATCCAAATCTACATATCAATATATTTGGCGTGTACACTCAAATGTGGAGAAGGTACAGAGAAATAGATGTTATACCACCTGGTGAGTGTAAGCTGCATGGACCAACAGCAAAAGTTTTGAAAAAGAAAATCATGCCTTATTTACCTACTACTTGTACCTGTGCTAGGATGATGAAAAACAAAACAGTATAATGAAGGAAGGAAGGAAGAACAAATTGCTGGATTGTCAGGCCAAGGATATGGTGCATCACCAATGAATAATTTTCAGTTTTGAAAAAACATAATAGGATATCAAGCAAGGGTACTCCATCATAAGTAACGCACAGTTCCTAATAAAAAGGTTGAGAGTAAGAGAGCGAGTTAGGCAAGTACAACATGTAGAGTACATTACTGTATGCAAAACTTTTAAATGCTTGTACTTACCTTAAGTCCATTGTCCACAGAGTTTGCGAACACTCTAATCTTCTTCAGATCAGGCTTTCTTGCACCGCCTTCTTCCTCACTTGTTCGTTTAACACCAGAAGAAATACCATTAACTACTGGTTCTGATAAACTGTGGTTTCCCGAGGCATCCACTCTAGCACAAATTTCGGGTGATTTAGACCTTTCTTCATTTTCACAATTATCACTGTCATTTGGCAACTGACCATTAGTTAGAGATGGTGATATGGGTGTTGTGGCTTCTGATGTAGGTACAGACGAAACAGAATTAACTGTAACAGCCGAAAGATCGATTGAAGTTGGTAAAAAAGGAGACGACGTTCGAGAATTGTTATTTGAGGTAGATGTTGGCGTTAAACTCTTGATAATATTGGAGACGCTAACTGTGGGAGCAGGTGGTGGGGTTGGAGTACGAGAATTTGTGGGAGACATGAATTCCTTTAGTACTCCTGCGGGCACAGATATCATGGGTGCCCCAGGCTCCATTGCCTTCATGGTCTTAATAAGCAGCTTTCAATCTTAAAAATACTGGCCTCACGGCTGCTGCTGCAACAATCTGAAACGATTAACATTAAATAGTTTATTTTTTATAAAAATAATGTACAGTATTTTCCTTTCTAGTTTTCATACTTTTAATGAACAGAATATCATTTTGTATATTATCTAAATTAGCATTAAAAATAAATGTCAAGTAACTGAAAAAAATATTAAGAAGGCCTACTTAAAAATTGAAGGGGTCAGTTGTGAATAAAACCAATTAGCCACTTTCTGCCCCTTTTGCCATGTACAGACATTAAGAAGCTATGAAAGATAATATGAATGAGTATCATCAATGTACACTGTAAAATGATAAGAAACAATAAAATGAATACTGTAGTAATAAAAAAATTAAGAGTGTTGAGATAATGTTTTGGTCTATCCAGGGCTACTGTACAGTCCACAGAATTAGGGGATAATGACTGAAGTGAACACGTGGAAAACAGGAATAGAGGATATAAGTCACATAATAAAGTGTCCAAAGACTGTTCAACATCATCCCACCATGCATAAGGGGTATTACCAATAGACCCCTGGCTGCCTTCAAGAGGGAACTGGACAGATTGCATACGGCCAGCAGTAGCAGCTTGGTTGATCAGGCCCTGATCCACCAGGAGTCCTGGTCAAGGACTGGACCAGGGGAGGTTGACCCCCGGAACACCCGCCAGGTAGAATAGACAAGACTCAGAGTAATGCATTCAAGTTACAAACGATATAGGAGAGCAATGGTTTGGTAATATAGTTGTGGATAAATGAAACAAACTTCCAGGTAACATCATTTAAGGAAACTTTGGGTACTTTATAAATAGATTAACAAGTATGTATGTATATGAATGAGTTTGGAAAAGGGCTGCTCCTGAGCCAGAAGGTCCCATGCGACCTACAGAATCTACTAATAATAATCTTTATTTCTGCATGTACTGGGTATACAGGCCTAGCTGGCATCAGTGACATACTACATAGAAAGCCCCTTGTTAAGCAGAGCATTTCGGGCAAATTAGATTAATTTTGTTCCCAGGATGCGACCCATGCCAGTCGACTAGCACTCAGGTACCTACTTTACTGCTAGGTGAACTTGTACAGCAGGTGTTTTAAGGAAACATCCCGATTCCACTTGTACCGGGGATCGACACCCGGACCTTAGTGTGTGAGCTAGCAATCAAGCTACGGGACACAACTAAGCACCTATTTACTGCTAGGTGAAAAGGGGAAGCAGGTGTAAGGAAACATGCCCAACATTTACACTGGTTAAGGAATTGAACCCTAGTCAATGAGCGTGTGAACCGAAGCCGCTACCAATTTAACCACTAGCAGAGGGGGTGTTTGTGGGGAAGCGGGGAAGGGGATGTTTGTTGGAGATCATGGAGGGAAGGTGGGAGGTGAGACTTAAGTTTCATATGCCATTCAGAAGGCGTGTGCAGGGCCAGATTACCGCATAGGCAAACTAGGATTTGCGCACATTTGGGGGCCCCGCGGTCCAAGGGGTTCAGGGGCTTATCCAAGACTGCGCACATGGTGCAAGTGCAAAGGGGTCCCTACCTAAAAAGTTCAAGTGTTTGGAGAGTAAAATTGATTTTTAAAAATTAATCAAAGCAAAAATAAATAATGAAATAAAATAAAATAAAAATAAATAAACCTAACCATAGATGGCAACACTCAACACGCCTTTGTTTACATCAGAACAGCTGTGTTTTCCCGCTAATGGGTGGGTATGGGAGATTCCTCTCCAATTTTCTGTAGTAATTACACGTTATCTAGACTTGTACTGTGACAAATTAACTGAAGTGTTGTTGATAGACATTGATGTGTATGGATAAATGTTTGTTTTCGCCTCTAAATGTTAAGGGAGGTACCTGATAGGGTTACTTGACCAGTAAAGACGCATGGACCAGTAAAGACGCATTTTTGGTAAAAATACTATAAAGAAAAACCTAAAAACGCAAACTGACTTCCGTTTGTAGGTTTTAAAAGCACTTTGTCCTGTCTAAGTCTTTATCATTTCAATAACAGATCTCAATTGATTGATGTTCTACATCACTTCCGTCGAAAATGCTTAGTTTTCAAGTTGCGAGTTAGTTTAGTTAGTTTAATATGTTTATTATGCACCCCATACCCATCCTGTGGGCGGTAGTCAAAAGATTACAGAGGTACATAATTGGTCCAGGGACTGGACTCCAAAGTTTTGATAGCTGAGCAAGTTACAGAGGTAATGAACTCACAATTTACAAAGGTAATGAACTCCAGGCAGGTCTGGTCACAATCATGACAAGTTACAAAGGTATTTACAGATTACAGAGGTACATAATGGGTCTAGGGACTGGGCCCCCAAAGTTTTGATAGCTGAACTAGGTACAAAGGTAATGAGCTCACAAGTTACAAAGGTAATGAATTCTGTAAGAATGGTTACTTACGTTTATACATGGCTACAATCATGAACAAATTATAGTGTAATGAGCAATTCACACTTCCACACCCGGTCACAACTGTAATGAGTTATTGGTGCAAATATTGATTGTTGAGTCACATACACACACACTGACACACACACACACACACACACACACACACACACACACACACACACACACACACACACACACACACACACACACTGACACACACACACACACACACACACGCACACACACACGCACACACACACACAGTTTAGTTTAATATCTTTATTATGCACCCCATACCCATCCTGTGGGCGGTAGTCAAAAGATTACAAAGGTACATAATGGGTCCAGTGACTGGACCCCAAAGTTATGATAGCTATGAGATGTTATGAGATGTTATGAATGAAAAGAAGTTGGATGTCCTGGCCCTAAGCGAAACAAAGCTGAAGGGGGTAGGGGAGTTTCGGTGGGGGGAAATAAATGGGATTAAATCTGGAGTATCTGAGAGAGTTAGAGCAAAGGAAGGAGTAGCAGTAATGTTGAATGATCAGTTATGGAAGGAGAAACTAGAATATGAATGTGTAAATTCAAGAATTATGTGGATTAAAGGTTGGATGCGAGAAGTGGGTCATAATAAGCGTGTATGCACCTGGAGAAGAGAGGAATGCAGAGGAGAGAGAGAGATTTTGGGAGATGTTAAGTGAATGTATAGGAGCCTTTGAACCAAGTGAGAGAGTAATTGTGGTAGGGGACCTGAATGCTAAAGTAGGAGAAACTTTTAGAGAGGGTGTGGTAGGTAAGTTTGGGGTGCCAGGTGTAAATGATAATGGGAGCCCTTTGATTGAACTTTGTATACAAAGGGGTTTAGTTATAGGTAATACATATTTTAAGAAAAAGAGGATAAATAAGTATACAAGATATGATGTAGGGCGAAATGACAGTAGTTTGTTGGATTATGTATTGGTAGATAAAAGACTGTTGAGTAGACTTCAGGATGTACATGTTTATAGAGGGGCCACAGATATATCAGATCACTTTCTAGTTGTAGCTACACTGAGAGTAAAAGGTAGATGGGATACAAGGAGAATAGAAAGCATCAGGGAAGAGAGAGGTTGAAGGTTATAAACTAAAAGAGGAGGCAGTTAGGGTAAGATATAAAACAGCTATTGGAGGATAGATGGGCTATTGAGACCATAGGCAATGGGGTCGAAGAGGTATGGGGTAGGTTTTAAAAATGTAGTGTTAGAGTGTTCAGCAGAAGTTTGTGGTTACAGGAAAGTGGTGCGGGAGGGAAGAGGAGCGATTGGTGGAATGATGATGTGAAGAGAGTAGTAAGGGAGAAAAAGTTAGCATATGAGAAGTTTTTTACAAAGTAGAAGTGATGCAAGGAGGGAAGAGTATATGGAGAAAAAGAGAGAGGATAAGAGAGTGGTGAAGCAATGTAAAAAGAAAGCAAATGAGAAAGTGGGTGAGATGTTATCAACAATTTTGTTGAAAATAAAAAAAAGTTTTGGAGTGAGATTAACAAGTTAAGAAAGCCTAGAGAACAAATGGATTTGTCAGTTAAAATAGGAGAGGAGGTTATTAAATGGAGAGTTAGAGGTATTGGGAAGATGGAGGGAATATTTTGAGGAAATTGTTAAATGTTGATGAAGATAGGGAAGCTGTGATTTCGTGTATAGGGCAAGGAGGAACAACATCTTGTAGGAGTGAGGAAGAGCCAGTTGTGAGTGTGGGGGAAGTTCGAGAGGCAGTAGGTAAAATGAAAGGGGGTAAAGCAGCCAGGATTGATGGGATAAAGATAGAAATGTTAAAAGCAGGTGGGGATTTTAGTTTTGGAGTGGTTGGTGCAATTATTTAATAAATGTATGGAAGAGGGTGAAGGTACCTAGGGATTGGCAGAGAGATGATGTTCTTTGTATAAAGGCAAAGATTCTTTGTGTTTAGGATTTGGAAAAGGGCGTATGACAGGGGGATAGGGGGCAATGGGGCAGATTTTTCAGGTGAAGGGTGGGAGGTAGGTTACTGAAAGCATGAAGAGTTTTTTAAAGGATAGGAGGCTCAAGTTAAGATGTAAAAAAAAAGAGGGAAATTTATTTCCCAGAAAATTAGGCCTTAGAAAAGGAATGTGTGATTCACCGGTTTTTAAAATATATTTTAGAGGGGGTTGAAAGAGAATAAAGCGAGGGTCTTGGCAAGGGGCGGGAGTAAAAGAAAAAGAATCACACATAAAGTGGGAGTTGCACAGTTGTTTTTGCGATGACACTGTGCTTTGGGAGATTTGAAGGAAGTTGCAGAATTTGGGGAAAATTTGGTAGGGTGTGCAAAAGAAGAAAATTGAAAGTGAATACAGGAAAGATAAGGTTTTAGAGGATAACAAAAAATTAGGTATGAAAGATTGGATATCAGATTGGGGGGGAGAGAGTATGGGGGAGGTGAAGTATTCAGACATTTGGGAGTGGACGTGTAGGGATGGGTTATAAAGATGAGGTAATCATAAAATTTTTATGAGGGAAAAGGGTGAGTGGTGCCTTTGGGTCTGTGGAGACAAAAAACTTTGTCCTTGGAGGAAAGGGGGAAATGTATAGAGTATATTTTACCAACGCTCTTAAGGGGTGTG